TCCTTCCTTCATTCTTCCTTCATCGCCATTCTGTTGTCATGCCGACCCCGGATTCCGTGAACATTTATCGGTGCTGTGATTATGCTTATCAGCCGCTGTTCTCGATGCTGTGGTAGCCCAATTCGTGGCTGTGCTTCCATCCACACGCAACCTTCCCTGCGCCGAGAAAGCTGGAGATCTCCATACCTTGACGAATCCGATATCCTGGCTCTTCTCCCTGAAGCATTGACGGCAAATGTTGAGGCCGTACTTCCTGATGAGACCGGCTTTGTGGGTGCAGACGCGGCTGTATGTGAACTATGCATTAGCCTCCAATTCAATATCCATCCTTTACGCCCTCTGTTCTTCGTCCACACTCTCTGGTCTTCTTCCGTCCTGAATTCGGCCCAGGCGGAGTTCTAAGGTGAGGCGGAGTAATGCGCAACGCACCAAGACCGAGCGCCCTTGCCGTACGTCCTGGGACGCGAGTACCACACGGATTCGTGAGACATGATTGCGGGTTTGACGGGTGGAAGTTGAGAGGTCTCTGTGAGGATTCGAGGTCAGATCGAGGTTCTTAGCGCGGACGGATTAGACTGACTTGTCGTACGGTTTCGTGTGAGCTTCGATCGTCGGTCGCGGTGCTGTCGTGCCTGAGGTCGTCGTCGCTGCAATAAACTCTTGGTGGTGGGAGGACCGGAATTTTGGTAGTGCCGGGTTAGCGAGGGCTTGGCGCCGACTTCAGATGGGGGATTAAGGCACTAAGGCAGCCAAGGCAGCCAAGGCAGGCGTACATCAAGGTCACTTTTTACCCGCTATTAGTGATAGTTTAAGTAGAGCCGCTATGGAACTTCGCATATGAGAGCCTGTAAGTCTCATCATCTATCAAGTTGTTCGCGGCGCTAATTATTCCGGAGCGGGAATCGTGCTACTGTGGACGGCTGTTTGTATTGCAACAACTGAAGGAGATGGGTATGTGTTGTGTAGGGGAAGGAAGGAAGCTATACAGGTAGCCCCGTGATAAAGCGCAAAGATTGCGAATGCCGTATGTCACAAATGGAGATTACCTGAGGTTGCACAAGCAAGCCTGCGCTTCTGTTCATACCCGGTTGCGTCAGAGTTTCTCATTGTACTGAAAGGGATATGTTCAATATCGCAGGCGCCAAATGCCAACCCCTTGAGTAAGCCCAAGTCACACATCGCCAACTGTGCGATGACCTACTCTGCCTCCAAAACATTCCAAGGCAGCTCAACGCCTCGACTCCCTACTTCTGCTCCTCCTTCGATCTCGACTAGTGCTCCGCTCACGCTTCCGCTCCCTATCCTTATCCTTTTCCTTGTCACCTCCCTCTCGAGCCCTGCTACTACCGCCGCCAGGAACGTATCGATCGATGTCCCTAAAGCTAGGCCTCTCCTCTGCGTCTCTACCGTACGATGGTCTGGTGCCGCGGTAGTCCCGGTTTCTGTCCCGGTCGCGTTCGCGGTCCCTGTCTCTATCTCGATCTCCGCCTCTATCCCTGTCCCTGTCCCTGTCCCCCTCTCTGTCTCGCTCACGTTCACGTTCACGTTCACGTTCGCGATCCCGATCCCGATCCCGATCCCGATCACGAGTCCTATTTGCTCCACCGGGGACGTATCTGTCGATCTCCTTAGGGCTACGCGAGCGAGATGTACGGCGACGACGAGGCGAGTGCGACCGATCTCTAAAGTTGCGGCGGGGAGGAGATCTGCTGCGCGAGGGGCGGCGCCGGTCTCTGTCGTCGCGTTCGACTGCTCTTGCTGGGCTACGGCTACCATATCGGGATGAGCGACGACGGTCCTCGTTGCGGGGCTTGTACTTTTCCTCTTCATACCGAGAGGAGCGCCGGTCCTCTTCGTACCGGCTGGGCCGTGGCGAAGACTGTCTTGTGTTTCGGTCACGGCTCCTTGACCTGGGGCGTCCTTGTTCTCGTTCGCCATAGTGGCTTCGTGGTCGCTCACCAGCAACTGAAGCGGATTCTTCTCGCTTGACTCCTTCGTTGGCCGTAGATGCGCCGCCTTTTACTGGCGGTTCCTTGATCTCTCCGTCTTCGGATTTGACAGGAGGCTTGTCTAACTTTGCAAGCCTTGCAGCAACAGGATCGCGGGGCACGATGGACTTTGGCGCCATGCTCTTACGTGCCGGCGGATCCAAAGACTCTGATCGCTCAAGCTGCGGTCGTGCGTTTGACTTTGCTACCAGCTCCTTGCCTTCTTGTAGGAGTAGCTCCAGTGCGATTTCCTCAAGGTTCTTGACGTTCCGCGGCGACGGTTTTCTCTCGCGTTCTGGGGTTTTCGAGCGCGGCCTAGGCGTCCTCGACCGTCTTCGTTCTCGCCGTTCCCTTCGTTCGCGCTCATATGCCTCTTCTCTCTCCTTTTCCTCGCGCCTTCTTCTCTCGTACCGTTCCTCGCGCTCCCGCTCGATAGCCTCCCTCCGCTTTCTCTCCTCTTCTTTCTCCGCCTCCCGCTCAAGCCTTCTCCTTTCTTCCCTCTCCAGCCTCTCCTTCTCCATCGCCTCCTCTTCACGCACCTTCCGCAACCTCTCTTCCGCGGCCGCCTTCCGCTTCTCCCGCTCTATAGCCCTCTCCTTCTCCTTCGCCTCCTCCCTGATCCTGTGCCGCTCTTCCCGCCGCTCCGCAGCCTCACGCGCGTATTCCTCCTCCGTCTTCCCACCGCGTTGCTGCTCATCCACCGCCGCATCAACCCCAATCTCCCCACGCCGAATATCCCTCATCTTATCCTCCGCAATCTCCCGCATAGCGAGAACATACTCCAGCACATGCGCCTGCGCCGTGCGATACACATCGCTCCGTTCCGCAGCACCCTCAACTAGCGGTGCAGCGATCCGTCGGTCCTTGGACAGCAGCGTAGGGTTGCGGTCGATCTCGCGGTCGGTGAGTTCCTGAAGCGATGTCACGAGGGAGGTCTTGGCGTCACCGTCGTCGAATTGTTTGTAGATCTTCTTGCGCAGCTCGTCGAAGCCGCCTTTCTTCTTGAAGGTGTAGAGGAGGCTGTCGATTGTGGTGCGTTGGGCTTGGGTTAGGGGGAGGTCGGAGGGCTTGAGCTTCTTGCGGGGGGGTGCGAGGGCGGTTTCGAGGGCGGGAAGCGAGTCATCGAGACCGCGCTTCGGCGAGCCTGTTGTCGCCGCCATGGCGGGGTGCAGTGAGTCGGTTGTGGTGGGTAGTGAGCAAAAGTGGTTGACAAGGGAGTCGCAGAATGCTGTTTCATGAGCTCCGATGTGCCAAGCGTTTCGGTCCGAGCGCCTCCGAGGGGAAGCAGCAGCAGGGAACTGGATCACGGCGAGCTTCCAAGGTGTGGTCGTGTGTGAAACACTCCTGTACACACGCGCATTGCACTCTCCATACCACAAACAAGTCTTACGGCCTCAATCACACACTCTCACGGAAGAAAGCATACACGACTGCGATCGCCGGCAACTGCATAATGGTCCACAAAGTCCTCTTCTGGAGCGGCTTCGGTACACCTCCCGCCTGCGATATCACCCCCAAGACGAGCCTCCAAGCTAACCTCACATCCCCACAGGCCTCGTCGTCCGATTCTGGCAACTCGGCATCGAAATGCGGCCCTTCTTCAACCGGGAATCGCTCTGGGCATACCCGGTCTACGGCGCAGTGGGGGGCAGTTTCGGGTACTGGTTGACGGGCGTCGAGAGCAGACAGTTCAAGGTTCTCAGTGACCGAAGGGACCGCTTGTTGGAGAAGAGGAAGAGGGCGGCGGAGAGGGATCAGTTGAATATGGGCACGCCGGCGCAGATTGAGGAGGAGGGCATTCATGCGACGCCGTAAATGGGGTGGGGATTTGGGGGGGCTAGGAAGAAGGCTGTGGGTTTCGACTAGGGCAGTCGGGCTTGCGGATACTGCTGTCTTGGCTATTGAAGGAGGAGAGGATGGCGGGGGTTGTGGTGTATGCTTTTCCAGCAAGGGCACGCTTTTGTTGATGTACAGATCTTGTCCTGTTTTGAGTAATTGCACGAACAGTATCACGAACGCCTCAGGACTGGACTCGCACCAAGTCCACAGCAGTCCCATTGCAAACGTTGCATAGTTGCAGGAACGTAGCATTCAGCTCATGCTTGCCAAGTCGATGACTCGAAGCTTACCTTTAGCACGTCGTATTCTGGTATCAAGCCAGATGTCCCTCCACCGTGTCAAAAACAGACAGAGCATAAGATATAGAAGAGAGTCCAAAAATGATGTTCCAGGTCCATTGACTAGCATTACTCTGCAATTGCCGAATCTACATTCCTCACAATGCCTCACCAAACCCCGGCGCGACTCGCTTCTCCGGCATTGCCCATGCAGGCCATGAACGTCACCAATGGCAAGCCGAAAGACATTGTCGTCTTCTCCGGTGGAAGCGCGGCCAATAGTCTGGTCGACGTCTTCAAGACTGTTGCTGAGAACAACAAAAGCTCGTTGAGCTATGTGATACCGATCAGTGACAATGGGGGGAGCTCTTCGGAGCTGATACGTGTGTTTGGTGGACCAGGTTGGCAGACCCTTTCCATGAATGACCAGATACTCCCTTGCAACAGACACTAGGTGACGAGTAGATATACTAACTTTTGCATAAGGTATCGGTGATGTGCGCAGTACGTTCAGCTCAAGATAAGTTCATGCAGCTGTGCCCGCCTAACAATTGCCCCAAGGTCGCCTTGTCCGCCTCATTCCGGATGACGAGGCAAATACGGATACAGAGAAGGGGGCAATCAAAGCGTTCTTCAACTACAGACTTCCAAACGACGCCGAGAAAGCTCGATTAGAATGGCTTGATATCGTCGAGGCAAGACATGCGCTATGGCAGCATATCTCAACTCCAAAGAAGGAGCTCATCCGCTCTTTTCTAAATCTGATAAATCTTGAGATCGTCAAGAAGGTCAGACCTTCCTCAGTATTCAACTTCTCGTCGGCCAGTATCGGTAACTTGTTCCTTACTGGGTAAGTCGCTTCTCAATCTTTTGCACAGCACTTTCATATATGATCAATATCGTCTGGTCATTGCGCTTTTAGAACATCTACCGTCAAATCAAGATGCATCACTAAGACGTTACAGTGCACGCCTCTTCTCCGGCAGCTTCGAAAGCGCCATATATCTCCTCAGCAGCATCTGCCAGGTCCCGCAAAATGTGTCCGTTCTACCTGCAATCAATACGAACTTCTCGCATCATATTTCAGCCGGCCTCGCCAACGGAACGTCGATCATGGGCCAGAACGCAATCTCCCATCCCAGCATCCCAACAGCTCTTCCGGATGTCAGCGTGAATGGAGTCAGCGAGACCGAAGAGCATGATTCCATCGAAGATGCCAACCTGCCTGGGTCCTTACCTACTCTACGGAAGCAATACATCTCCTTCACAAAAAGTGAGGAAGAAGACCTACCCGCGCGTATCGAACGAGTGTGGTACATCAACCCCTTCGGCCAGGAAATCCGCCCACCCGCGAACCCGAAAGTCATCGACGCCCTGCACTCCTCGCAGAGCATCATTTACAGCATTGGCTCGCTGTACACCTCCATCATCCCGTCCCTCATTCTCCGTGGTGTTGGAGAGGCTATTGCTTCGACGAGCATCAAGCACAAGATCCTTATCTTGAATAGCACCGTCGACCGCGAAACTGGGCCGTCGTCTACGCCGTTCACGGCGCTTGACTTTGTTGCTGCCATTGCACGCGCTTGCGCCGAGAGCCGGGGCTCCTTCGGAACTGTACCCACCTCTGAATACAGGACTTACGTGACGCATCTGGTTCATCTCGAAGGACCGGATACTCCTCAGGTAAACAAGGCTGAGTTTAGTAGCCTTGGCATTGAGACTATCAGGCTCTACGGTAGGAAGGGCGAGGATGGGAAGGGGCTGAGGTACGACGAAAAAGCACTAAATCAGGCGCTCGAGGCGACGATTGGGAAGGGGAATGTGAGAGCGGATAAGAGCAGGAGGAATACGTTGGATGGCTGACGATCAGCTCCGAAATGCAAAGAAAGACTTTCCACAGTACCTGTTTTATGGTGTGCGTGTAGACGAGATCACTCTTGAGATCGAGATTACTTCAGAAATGTCACCTACCATAGCACTTATTACGGTTTCCACCATGCAACCCACCGTATGCGCCGCTACACCAAACGCCGTCTATCTACCAGATCGCATCGCCTCTCGACAGCAAAATGGCCACCTTCTTAATCCGGCGTGAGCTCCGAAAGGGTTCTGACTTCGACGACAGTGGGTTGGTCTGGCAGCTTCACGTAAATTCAGTGTTTTGCATGAACGGATGACATGCGTGTCGCTCCCATCCTATGCCTCGCCAAACACGAAACATACAAAGGGCAAGTGCAGTACTCTCGCTACACTGCGGATAAACAGCTTCAAACTAAGCAAACAAGTCAGGCGAATCATCACATATCGTCTCCACTGACACCAGATTTGTCTCGTATTCGGATTCAAGGCATTGTTATACACGCATGTAAGCGCGGCTTAACTATCACCACGGTATACTACCATTAACATACTCTGGCGACTGAAGGCGATTCAGTATATGCTGCTCCCGTCAATACGACGATTGGTTTGCCCATACCGTGACTGATACCTCGTATCAGGCTTTCCGACGAAGATTGCATCCTCCGAGTGTGATCTCGCCGCCTTTCCCCTCTGTCTGACTGATTCCAGCATATCTTCCGAAGTCGAGTTTTCCAGCAAGCGGCCTCAGTGCTCGCCGTCTATAAGTATACCACCGCTCGCCCACCATGATCTTAATATTCAGAGCATCAAGGATGTTCTCCGAGCATCAACATCAGAAGACACAGAGTAGGATGCAGTTCATGACATTAGACGATGGGCAAGGAGGATGTAGAGATGCTTCGGCGGTGAAATGAGAGGGAAGGAATAGACAGTATTGAGGAGCGAAGAGACGGTTAACTACATGACATCTGAACCGTGACTGGCACTCGAAGCTGAGCCCAACCCCTTACTCCAGCAAGAGTGAAGGTTGAGAAGACACGTGGCCAAGTATACACACAACGCTTTTTAGGCTTTTTTACAAGTACAAAACATCGCCGGAATCCGCCGCGCAATCAAAGGGATTATCTGTTTTCAGAGTTCTTCCTTTGCAGTCAGCTGCATGAAACCCTTCTCTTATCCCTCGCGGACACACCGGATCAACGACGGGCCTCCTCGCCAAACATCTGCTTGAAATACTTGTCGAAAGTGGTGACCTCAACTTCTGGAAAAAGATGGTTGTGAATCTGACCCGGTGGCCTCCAGAACTTCCCATCACCCTGACTTCCCTTGACGAGGAACCAGAAATCCACCGGGAACACACCCCCCTGCAGTTCCTTAGGCGCCTTGCTCGGGTCCTCGACAACCTTCCACTTCTCCTCCTCAGTGACTTTCTCGAACTCGACGCTCTTGCCGCTATGGGCGGTCAACCGCTGCCCAATCTCTTGAAGCGAGACAAAGTCGCTCCGGAAGTTCAGCTCTGCGTTCTCTGAAAGCTCGGGCGCGCAAAGAGACGCGACGAGGTAGCGCGCGAAATCGTCCGTGTGCGTGTAATCCGCCCTTTCGTCGGATGACCCGAGGAAGTGGAATGTGTAGCTCTTAGTGTCGTCGTCGAGCTTCTGCGTCCAGGGGCACCACACCGGCTCACGCGTCTGGTTGTAAAAGTCGCCGCAGCCGATCAGCGTGTAAGACATGTCGCCACGAGCAACGGCCGGATGTCGCACTGCGGCCTCATTGGCGAGGGCCTTTTGGTTCCACAGCGGATGAACGTAGCCCATAGGGTCATTAGGCTTGCGGTAGATCTGGTGCATGCCGTACTCGCTAGGGTAGAAGCGTTTGACGCGGGCCTCTGCCGCCGCGTCTTGAATGCCGATCTGGGCATCCAGGCCCTTGCCGTTGAGGGCACTGACAACCACGTCAACGCCCTCGAGCTTTGGGGCGACGGCGTCCTTGTCGAAGATGTCAATGGCGTGCACGGTCACGTTGCGTGCATCGGCGCCGCTTGGTGGTGAGCTCTCAGGCGGGATGAAAGCGAGGACATCGAACTGTTGTTTTTGACAGTTTACCAGAGCGTCGAGGATGGCCTCGCCAATTTGGCCATTGGCTCCAAAAAGGGCAACGGTTTTGAAGGTGGTCATCTTGCGGATGGTTGTTGATGGAGTTGAGGGAAGTAAAGACACGAATGGTGTTACCTTATACGCGTGGCTTCGAGTATACGTCATCTTGCGTCGATCTGAGGGTTCAATGACGCTGTAAAAAGGAGATTCGTAGTGTGTAAGCAAAAAAGTGGTGTGTTGGTATTTAACCGGCTAGAAGTAAATGCAAAGAGTGGAGAAACCCAATAAACAGTGGCAGCTTCGTAAGCTTCCTCGCTCATAGTAAAAGGAAGGTGCGCATCTGAAGCCAAGAAAGCAGTACCCACGCCCCCTGTAGCAAGGTAGGAATAAATTCTTAGACAGTCCAACTCTACATTGCCTAGCAGCTTGGAATAAGTCCTCGGATTTTATAGCCGTCCGTACTACACTCTTTCAGCGACCATGTTTGCAAGATCAAGGTGATGCGGTCCATTGCTGTCCTTTTAGAGCGCAGGAACACGCGTTCGGTTTGAGTACGGAGTGAACAACCGTGTGATACGATGCTCAATCGCCCATTGAAGGCCTGGCTGTCCTACATATTCTTACTGGTCCTATCCATGGCGTTCGAGTGGTAGCGTAGCTCGGTGGTGAGCCCGTAAGAGCCGCTCGAAGGTAATCAGATGATGTGAATTTCCGAGAATCGCCTCACAGAATGCCAGGTCTTGAGCCGAAGCCGCTTTTGAGTCAGTCTCGGTCAATCAATAGGTAGGTGTGATGCTTGCGGGACCTTGCCCTCGTTTTCTGCTTTGCTTCTCAGGTAGCTGAGCGATACGCTCTTCTCATATTACTGGCGATACATTGAATAGGCACTGCTACCCCTTGCCGTCGTGTAGATCTTTACTCGAACCCACTGCGAGGGTCTGGTGGACAGTACCCTCTCCGCAAGAGAAATGAAGCTAGGCCATCCTCGAGCCTTGCGAACTGCGCAGCGAATGTATCAGCACTCTCAGTCCAATACGTGGTAGCGCTGTACCCATCATATGGTTGACTGGAAACACTCCCCGTCTGACACTTACAATACTCTTCTCAGCAATAACTCCGTCCTTAATCCAGACACCATGCGAGCCCATCATATTTGCCATCATGACATCGGTGAACAGCCTATCGCCTACAACCGCAATTTGAGAGGCAGATGTCACCTCCGCATCTGTTGCCTTTCGGAAATAATCCAGTACTTCTTCTCTGCATCCTGGCTTCTTCGAGCAGTGAGCACCAGAGCGTACAACAGAAGAGCTTGTACTCTGAGATATAAAACACCAGCATTGTGAGGTTAAACACGCAAGGCTAACCGTACCTTTGTATTGTGCCGGAGCACTTTTACGCCTGTATTGCGCTCGAGTAGCTCCGCTTCGGCATAGCCTCGATCAGTCAGAGTGCCAGCGGTGTTGGATACTATGAGAAGGCGAGATCCAGGGTATGTTTTGCGAAGCTCCTGGAACTTGTCCTGACGATTTGGACCACTGGGTCAGCTGGAGCTCATGGCAATGCACACACACAATGATGCACCCGTAATCGAAGAGAATATTACAGTCCCTGAGTGAACGAAATTGAGATAGAACGAATGTTTTTCTCTTTCCATATCCCCTGCGTCCCGGAAAACTATACCAGCTGTGATATAACACACATGAAAGCGTGCTCCAAGCAAACTCAGCTCAGTACTGTTAGTAAAGAGACTCATACCTGATATGGCTTGTATACTTCGTTCTCATGTGGCACAGCAAAGCAGTTGTCCTTGTCGAGGACTACCGCCCTGATATCGGCGCCTTTCCCTCCATGCTGTCCGGCAAAGGCCTTCGACAGCGGGACAGGCAGATGATTGAAGGTTGACACAGTATGGTGTGGCAGGCAGAGGGCAGGTTCTCTGATTAACCGGAAGACGTTCAGCGTCCCGGAAATGTTCATTGAGCAAACTGCATGTGGATCGTAGATGAAGGAAGGACGTCGCCATCCCTAGTCGCTGTTGGCCTTACTGCCTTAAACAATTTCTCGGAATGCCAAGATATTCGGCTTCCTCATATCGCTGCCCGACGTCCAGCATGACCCGCAACACCAAGCCAATAATATTTCGTAGGAGCTTGATACAGTCCACCAAATCCTCAGTCTTGCGATTCGGCGTCGCCCAATATGACGAGCACCATCGGTATCCCAATCAAGCTGCTGAACGAGGCCATGGTACGTCTTCCTCACCGCACTCTGCGCAAAATGTAGGCTAAGACAACTGTCGCTGACAGTGCTTCCAATCTAGGGCCATGTCATCACCCTCGAAATCACATCCGGCCAAGTCTACCGCGGAAAGCTGCTAGAAGGTGCGCTTGTTTCCCCGCTCGTCCACACGCGCAACCGCTGACACTATCCCACCCACAGCGGAAGACAACATGAACGTCCAGCTTAAAGATATCACCGTCACCGCACGAGACGGAAGAGTTTCGCATCTCGACCAGGTCTACATTCGCGGCTCACACGTGCGATTCTTTATCGTCCCGGACATGCTAAGGCACGCTACACCCACAATGCTCGAGAACAGCGGAGGGCTTAGGCTAACAGGCGTTGCAGGAATGCGCCGATGTTCAGATCCAGGGGTACGAGGGGTAGAGGTGTTGGTTTGGCGAGAGGAAGGGCTACGGTCAACAGGGCGAGGGGGCAGACTCGAGGCCGAGGATGAAGTGGCAGCTACGGGAGCGGCATGAGAACGCATATGAACGGGACGGAGTTAGGGACAGAGTGGGGTTGTAGTGAAGACATGGCATGGGATCTTCCAATGAATGCTGCATAAAGATCAGCGCGCATCACGAAGCGCAATACCTGCCTTGTGCCAGTACTCTACTACTGCCGCGGTTTGGCTGGCTCAGGCGCATAGCTAGGATACCACAAAAGCGATACCTCATGAAACAACTCTACCAGGTCTTGAAGAAAAAGTGTCGGTGATTGTGGAATCGTACTTCCGTCCCTCGAGCGAAACGTGCTTCCGTCTTCTTATAGATACACTTTATTTGAGATTAACGACATCAAAAATGGCAAAAACTCAGTTCTGAGAAACCTCCAATGCCTTCACAGCCGGGCCCCTGATGATTCTTAGAGTTTCCATTACCTGACGTCCAGGTGGCCATCAAGGACCTGGAAGATACTGACGAAGTGGGGGGTTGGAAATTATCAAGGTGAATTTCAGTTTGAAAGCAGTTCGAGCTGACGGATTTAAGAGAATGGTAGGGCTGATCTCCGTTCACGTACGAGTTTCGGCTGCATCACTCTGTCGATGAAGACTGATTGTGCTTTGTACAATCTATCAGATGAGGAAGAGGTGCTGTCCCCAACTAGGCGAGAAGGATACTAAGTCAAGAGCTTCTTCGTGTATCTGCAACAGATTCTTGTGTCACACATTCATAAGCCATAAAACATGCGACTGTGAGCGTAGACCTCGAAGAGAAGCGCAGTACTCAGGGTAACCATGAAAGAGATAAGAGACAGGACTACAAGCAGCGAACGCCTGAACTGCCCTTAACTCGTACTTCTCCTTTTTGTTAGCGTCCGGTATGCGAGAAACAAAAGAAGTCTGCTCAGCTGAGGGGCCAAGCTGACCAGTAATGAAGAGTTAAGATGCAAGAACCTGCGGCTCAGGGAGATAACGTTGACGATGCGAACTGACGCCTTGCCTCCGGTTTACCTTGAGTTGCGGCAAACGGCCGCTATGAACACGGCCATCTTCAGCACCACACCAAGCACATATCCCGCTCCGTGCGACTGGAGACTACTTACGCTATTCCGCCAAGACAGCCTGCATCTGGATATTTCTGAGGTTTACTTCTCAGAACGCATCACTTGCGGAATGGGATGAAGGGGTCATCCGGCGCTGCCAGATTACGCATCAAGTCTATCATCACATACATGCCTATGTGATTATGGTAAACACCATGCTAGTAGTCATACTCGTAGAGTTGGGCGAGGTCGTTCGGCGAGACGTAGTCCGTCAATCCACGTGACCGTGCGATCTCAGGCAGGGAACCACTTGCTCCGCCCTCATTAGCAACAACACCTGAAACCTTGGAAAGACTACTTTTCTTCCTCAGTCTAAAGTTGCCGATAGCTCGCGAAGGTGGATGTCTCGTTGACTGTCCAGACTCTGCCTGGACTGGTGGCTTCAAGCATGATAACGCCACAAGAGCAACCACCCAGCTGAAAGACGCACAGCCGAACTTCACCATGGCCAGCATTCAATGCTGGTCTCTTCCATGCGCCGCCCTAGCCTGCCAAATTCAGCCGCGCCAGTGGCCCTCTGCAGGGCTACACCTAGCCAAATGATCCTGGCGTCCATCAACCCAGCTGAGCCCTCCCCAAGCGAGTCGTATACGATGTCCTTGTTCTACACCAGCGGCTTCTAAACCACGGATGAGGAGAGCTGGAGCTGCTTTAGGCGCTTATGGCTATCTGGAAAATGCCAAGGGTACTCCATGTGAGTGCTGTCGCGCCTATTTTCGAGGCGTACTTACGGATTCGACATGTCTCTAACTTTGCCAGGCGATTGCTCTTGGATGGGGTCCGCATGCTGCGCACATATATCCCTGTGCTGCACGCCAGAGCCTACTCCAAGATGCTAAGACTATCCATCTACTACTGCTGTCGCTTACTGTGCCTTGAATCCCGCTGTAAGTGCCTTACAGCTTCAGAGTCTCTTAGTGGACTATCCGCTGACCAGGGGCAGTCGCATTGCAGCTCTCGTCAACCTACCAAAGGCTCGCGACCCCTTTGCGCTGAGACTCGATCGTTGCGCAGCACTTCGTTAATCTATCAACATGGCTCCGTTACCGTTCTCTCCATGTACACTGCGCACGCGCCTGATCGTAGCACCACGGACGTTCAGCTTTGGACCATATCGTCTACAGCTTTCAGAGCTTGGATCCATCGCCATCCTTGTGCTGGGTACCGTCCTAGCGGTGGGATATCGATATTACAGGCACACGCAAGCTGTACGGACGCGGGAAGCCTGCAAACAGGCTCATCAGCAGATACATCTGGGGAAGGCAATTACCTCCCGAGTTATCGCAAACGGCTCGTATCAGCCTTCTATGTATCCTTGGATAGCACCTCCGGATCCTCTTCCGGGCCCTCACAACCATCCATTCTTTACGAAGAGTCATTCTGTGGAGCTGCCGCCTCCACCGATTCGTCGTCACTCCAACGCTTAGCTTGTGAGCTTTCCGCTCCAGAAACCTACCTTAAGCGCGTCGTAATTAACGAGACGGATTGATCAGCGGCGTAACACGGACCGATCACAAGGCTGAGAAGAAGAGCGGCGGATTTACCTCCATCAGTGGGTTCTCAGCGTCGGCTGGAAACGCACAGTATTATCTGAAGCGGGGAGGAACCGAAGACGGTATCAGGCTGTCAGCGCCGTGCGGTATAGATGCTGCACGGAATGTGCCAGGACTATTACGCCGTCTAAGGTCACGCACTGGACGTTGCGAAAGCGGTGACGTTTGCACGCCATCTATTCGGCTATCAACCGACATCGGGAAGCTAGAGGCTGCACGTAACATTGGTAGGGCTGGGAACGTTCATCAAAGGAGGTCGAAGAGGGGCGTTGATTGGGTGGGTTTCTCTGGCCGTGCGATAAATATTGTCCCTAAAATTTGGCGCTGTACCGCTTCAGATTGCCTGCGTCGATCACTCAGCCAGCCGCTTTCGCACAGCTGTTATTGATATTGAACCTTCATTGGTTGGGGACATTTATTGACGAGTTTGTATCGAGCACTAATCTCTGCCTGGTGCATCTTTTACCGGTCTCCCCTTTGGAGTTGACTATGTTACTTTACTACATCCTCTCCGTGAGAACCTTAGGTTACTTACCTCACGCTCTTACTCGAGGCAGCAGGCCTTTTTCCCAGCAGTGTCAACGTATCCAACTACTCCTATCCTGCACAGGACTCCACAGGTACCAGCACGGCAGTACCGATCCATAGCAATCACCTCCATGCGATTCACATCAGTCTTGCGCCCTATCTCTTCTTTCGGCCATCACACGAAACACTGTAATCACTATATCACTACACGAACACAGACTGCTTACAGATCGTTACATGGCATATCTCGTCTAGCGCATACGAAGAGGCCGACACAGCATACTGGTGAGGAACCGGAGCTCGGAGCCTCCGTATCACCTCCACCAAAGAGCGAGAAACAGCAGCAACCCCAACTCCGGAGCTCCAGACACATACGGCGGCTAACAGCGACATGAGTGTGTCACGCATGAGCCAGCGTCCGGAGCAACCCGATCGTTACCCATCCAGTCCTAGCGACCACCTCCAACAGTATGAGGCGCTATTGCACTTTCCCATGGATCACTAGTGCAGCACGATTCTAGCAGTCCGTAGACAGCTTTCGAAATCACAACAGTAGGCCGGAGTAGTTGCATCTCCGTCGCAAGGAGCCGCTGCCTTCTCCAGACCTAGCACACAACTCCCTCCTACTCTACCGGCACGGCTAAGCGCACAAGTAGCGGTTCGAGAAAGACCTTCCACAGTATTCCGAGTAAGACGCTGGAAGAGATGACAAGATGCCACTTTGATTGCGGTTCTTGCCAATGAACTCAATCAAGTGAATCAAGTGGGTAGTATCCTCCCCGTACAGCTTCAATAATACCACTCCTATAGCACTCCGGAAACTCGGCCCGCTATCCACTTTTCTGTATTTCGTTCCTTCTTCGACCTTATCTGCTGACGCGCTATGTTGTAACGAGCTTTTGTTCCCGCTCCACAGTGTTCAAATTTACCTTCTACATATCCGCGTTCTTCCGAATATAATTGATACTGCCACCGCAAGACGGAGGATCCCTAGGAATACTAAGAAACTAGCTACAGACTCAACGGCCATTCTTCCGCCTCAACTCCTCTTTGGTGTACAGACCAAAGCTCCGCCTTGCTCCAGCCCTTCCCTACCTAGGTAGCGTCAGGAACCTCTGGTCCGCTAGCACTAGCGTCCCCCCAATCGTACCATCGAGCGCGGCTTTCCATTAAATCAACCACAGCGCCATACCACGGCCACCCTCTCAGCGGGTTCGCTTCTGCATCTTTCGATCCAGCACGAAATTACTGCCGGACAACCTCCAGCGCAACTTTCCAGTTCCTCAGCCTATTGAGATGAGGACAAGGTGCACCGCATCCGCCTCGAACTCGAAACAAGCCTCCTGCGCTCACCATCGCTCAAACTAGCTTGCCGCACGTCCAGAAGGCTAGAACTGCACGGAGGATTGTCACCTCTCCGCCAATAATCATGGTTTCAATCCCGTACCCGGATAAGCAGCCGTCGGAACATGCTGTTCACGCCGCTGTGCAGACCATAGCAGCGGAACTGGATGTTGTCCTTCCGAGAAATGAAGGTCACCCCTACGAGGTAGGGGTGGACATGGCATACCATGGACTCGGAAGACTGAAAGGACGTCGGCATATCGAGAGTTTGAGCGACCAACTTGACGCGCTTCGATGGAGGTTGCGGGTCCAGGAGCCGGTGTTCCTCGCAGCCTTATCGTTGTGGGATCAAGGCCTCTTAAGTCTGAATGGCCTGGAGTCTCCAATTGACTGGGAGGCGGAATCTGACGACGTCCGTATTATCACTGGCTATCTGGACTGTTTTGCTTTGCTGGGACGGCTGGATCCAATGGACCTGCAGGAGGCCCTCCGAGGTTATTTCCCGGCACCGAGGACCTGGCTTGCGGTTCTCATCGTAAGATCCCGTGCAGATCCTGCCGCTGTGATGGAGTCGCTCATCCGTAGCGGTAAGCTTGGGGTATTGGATGAGAAGAAGTGGGGCAGGGTCGACAAACGGTTTGTATCCGACTCGGAAGCTATGATGATAGCTACGGAGCGTGTCCAGCCCCAGTATGGCTTCTGGTTACCGCATGGAGAAGAAATCATGTCTGCAGCACCGCAGATTTTGGAACGGTACCAAGCGATCAGATCGGCGTACAACCAATTCTTCGAAAATGATGCTGTCGATGCGTGGGGCGATGCAGAGCCATTCTTGGCGGCCATCAAAAGCCTTGTGGAGATTAGGAAATGACTAGTGAGATCATAGGAGTTGACAGCGGGTGAGTTCGGAATGGAGGAAGAAGTGTGGGGCAGATCGCAATCGGGATTATGACGATATGATAGGCACAGCGGCTAGTGTGCCGAAAGGTTTAGGTTCTTGAAGCCCTTCTGCGGTAGTGGTGTAAAGGGATAAGACTCGTGCCCGACTAGTATAAGTGACCAGGATCTAAATACAAACGACCTGCAGAGAAGAAATAGATACTGCACGAGACTGTTCCGTTATTCCGCTGTGAAAGAACCTCATGATAGCCTTATACGCCGCCAGATAGAGTCACAACACCTTCAACCAATGCCACAGTACCACTACACCCATGATCATCCCTTTCCGCTTGCTTTTCAAACCGGCAGAAACGCCGCTGCCGTCTCAAAGGATGCTTCGCCTGGTTGTTCGAAGGCGGGTCATCTCCCTGGCCTGTAACGTCGAACTCTTGAGGCGGCAAAGTATATTTTTCGAATGCCGTGTCGTCGGCTATTAGAGGCACTGAACCGGGATCGAGAGCATGGGGTTCGACCTCTTTAGTCTGAGTTGGTATTCGGATCGCCACGGATCGCCGTTCATGGTTGTTATCCCCGTGCGGGAGATCGGGCTTTTGGGAAGTAGTCACTGACACATCTGGGGAGCCCGCTTGAGTTTTCTCGCTGGATTGGCGCCACTCGCCTACTCGAGCATGCTTGTCCGTGTGGAGAGATTGCGGTTGGGTTGCCACATCGTGGCCCATAGCATCCTCAAATCGAGAAGGCGACGGACAAAGCGTTCGACGGCACAATGCCTCTCTATGCAGGTCCAGGTCATGCTTATTGTCAGACCCCCCAACGTTCGCTGTCTTGGTTTGGGCCTTGAGCGAGAGGTTATGCGTCTTCCGGCCTGGCAGAGCTTCGATGTTGAGATCATAAATCCGTTTATTGGTTACACATGGTGAGGTAGTAGACGGTCGACTCGTATCCATCAGCATGCTAGCGGCGACGCCCTCGTAAGGTAATGTACGATGTGCGGTGCTAGAAGTTGGCGGGGATTGTGTCCCGTCAGAGCCGCTTCGAGAGGGCGATTCTCTGTCCAAGCCAAGGAATGGTGGTATCTCGTCAACGTCGTCGATTGAGGAAGGCAGCGCGATATTGACGTTCGGTTGGCTGTAGATGCCGCTGCTCTCCTGCCGCTGCGGCGCCGTCACGAAGTCCCGAATGAAATTGTTGGATTGGCCGAATATCACCGCACCGTCATCAACGAGATATCCAGGCGGGATGATTCGGCCAACGGCGGAGTTCGGAACTATTCGCTGTAGGCGTTCGCACTGACAGCGAAATGCTTGCGGTGTTTTGCATGGTTCAAATAGCGATGAATTGCCCCGGTGCCATTGTAGACGAGTTGAGATCAGATATGTGCGGCCCAGGTGAGGACCAGCAACATCGCGGAGGTCTTCCAAGGTCCCCACACGGGTCGCCAGGTAGTCTTTCCCTCTCGGCATGCTCTTCCACATGTGGCACAGGCCCTCGCAGTTTCCCATTAGAGGTTGTATGACGTCCTCGTAACCATCCGCAAAGAGGACTAGAGCGTCGATATCCCGTACGAGAGCCGGCCAGCCCCCGCTGGTCTTCTGGATGGTTGCTTGCTTTTGTCTAACGGGCGACCGCCGTTGCACGATAGCTTTGAATTCGACACCCTTAACAACATCCTGCAGAGAACCATTGACCGTTAATCCCGGGTTTCGGTCTCTTTCTACCTGCTCCGCTAAGAGAAATTCAAGAATCGACCAGATGTTGAGAATCATGTCCTTGAAGGTGTACGGCTCGCTTTCCAAGTCCGAGAGATTGGTGAGGGCGTTGTTTAGAAGTACTTCTTTAGCATACGGTCCCGTGGGACCTACCGTGCCCAGTTTGATCCGCTTGCCGTTGACCTGGAAAGGTTCTATCCAGTTGCGGTGATGCGCCATGTGAAGCATAACACTAGAGGCTGGTACAAGCCATGCTCGTTTCTCGCCGGTATCATAAAGCACGACCGGGGTCTTCTCGGCATCGGAAATAATGGTGTTGTACGTACCGCTCCTCTTGTAACAGTGTTTCCATTTGGGTAAAATGGTGACATTGGCCTGGGCGACACCGAACTGCGAGATTCCAAATACCCCTCCAGTGATACTCAGCGCCGCTGCGGCATCCTCAGCCCCAGAATAGGCTATGTTTTCGTAGTTCGCCGTCTTGGAACCCAAAAGGGAGGTTGCTGCGCTGCACCAACCAAGTATGGCACGAGTTGCGCGGAGACTCTCCAGACTCACCTCCTCCAGTGTAGCTCGGTTTGGGCAACGGTCCAGAACTTCTCGGTACGACAGACGAGTTTCAGGGTCGAGACTGGAGAGAAGATGCCACTGGATTCGATCTTCCTGGCGTCTTATCGGGACCAACATGGAGGAGAATCCTTTCATGACGACGCCCCCTGCGAACTCGACAGCGTGTTGAACACCTGCTATCTCGGCGGCAATATCCAGAGACACCTCTACACCCATCTCATCTTGGCGCTCTGCGATTGGAAACCCATGTGCTATGGATGCTCCGCAGAAGAGGGGAAGCCAGCATGAGGTTTCCGCTGAATGTAACGGATTGAAGTGAAAATCCAGTTCGAACTCGAGCGGCCCCGAGTCTGTCTTCGCAATCTTAGCCTCGGAGTAAGCAGTTGCCTCACCGAACGGCGAAGGGCTCAACGCCGCCCCGATCCAAGCAAGTTGCTGAGCTAATTCGACGAGCATCGTCTCGGGTCCGTAAGAAGCGATCGATACATGGCTAGTCGGAGTATGGCTATCAAGATCGGCGGCAATCAATCGAATATCCAGGTCGAGGCCGTGATGAGAAGCTAGTTGTGTGTTAGCTTGGGCATGCTGAGAGAGGTTTGAAAGTCAATCTGAGGAGCTGCACGTGGCCTAACTTTCCTAAAACAGACGACATGGAACGCACGCTGTGCATGACTTTGACGAATCTACTCTCGGCGTTCTCAAGATCTCGCCCGTGGTTCAACTACGCCGAGAAAACAATCTTCCAGTGACGGTAGAATTTCCTGTTGGTTTAAACCCACGCCATGATACACTGACTACAGAGCGCGCGACACACAAAGGGTGCTGTATCAGCTCTCACCTTTGGCATGGCGTGTTTCCGTCTGACTACCCTTCACTGGGCTAGACTCTACCGCAGCTTGTAGCGTGGACAGGAAGAATGCACCACTTTGAGGCCAAACGGTCTGAAGATAATCAGAGCACGTTGTCGCTTGAGCGTACAATGCCGAGCCGGTTAGAACAATCAAGGACCCAAGTCGAGGCACGCAGTGACCGAACTGAGACCTCAGAAACCCAAGTAAATCCCATCTCACTTGGAAGGCAACGTCTTGCCAAAGCTGAACTTCCCTAGGATCCTCGCTTTCCTGGTGGGACCACTCACCCGGTCGTCGTACGAGTTCACCTTCTACCGTATGTCTGACCCAATCCATTCCGGCGTTGTCATCGCAGTAAAGGAGTCGCCGTACCGCGGTCGCTAAGTCTTGAATCGGTTTACCAAGAACGAGGAACTTATGCAGAGCGGCCCCGTCCACCGAGCGCTCCGCCTCGTCGAGGTTGTCGTCTCCGTCATTGGACAGCCAGTCTTCGAAATAATCGTCTCGGTAATTACTAGGTTGGGCTGCCTCGGAGGGTGGAATGGAACGTTGTGAGCTGTGTGCTTGAATGCGGTTTGCCCCTGTCTTCGTACTTATGGTTCTTGCTTGATTGAGTTCGGCGGTAGCTAGGTCGAGTTCGGCGGTAACTAGATTCGCGAGATCATGAAGTAGTGCGGCCATCGAACGGGTGGCTTTCGGAGCTGTTGCGGCGTTGAGATAGAAGTAGCGAACGATTTCGGCTGTATGTTCTCGGATGAGATTTGCTGCATATTCCACGACTCGATTGTCCTTGGTAGTCATACTTTTTGCTGAAAGCGGGCCATTTTCTGTACCCGCCAGAGCCAAAAGTCCAGATGCATAGCGTCTTACCCGCATACTCAAGAGGCTCTTGACGGAGGACCAGCATTGTTCGTCCAGATCGATCTTAGCCCACACTCGGGCACCGGATTTATCAATTATAGTTTCCCCGATGACGGCAATGAACTTCCATGAAAGGCTCTGAGGAAATTTAAGTCCACGATGTGTTCGATCATTAGGGTCCGAGACAGGGTTGAAAAAGTGTAAGGTCGGAGTGCTGGAAATGGGCCACACATGGTGCATGGCTCTTTCGCCCATAACGACCTTGTAGTTTCTACGCCGTGCCAGGGCTAAGACTATATAGTAGAATTGAAAGGACCGTTATCGATTAGGTAAGGTGAGCAAATTGTCCGCAATGCCCATGCTGCTTCGCCCGGCTTGTCCAGGCGAAAGCTGGGGTCTTGTGTGTGCGCCGTAGACGAAGCTTGGAATGATGTTTTGGAAGCGATCGAGACATGCGGATGAGACAGCCGAAGTGCGCTCAACCGTAAGGAATGGTGGGCCTCCCAGATGGTGAACTTGAAGCTTCGGCAGCACAAATCGGAAGTGCGGTTTGCAGAAGAGGAGAGTGGAACGTTGTTAATAGAGAAAACGTCAACGGGTGAACACACCGTTGTGACAGCCTTGCACTGCCCCCAATAGCTGAAGCATGCAACGCCATGCATGACGAAGCTTGGCATTAGCTTGACCACTGATTGGAGAGAGGATGAAACGAAAGAGCAGGACCGTCTTGTGGCACACTATGGATGGAGAGGAGGGCGGTAAGGAAAGCATAGAAAAATGTTCCCTCATTGTATCGGAAAGACCAAAGTTGCGTAGCTCAAGGGGTACCCATCATATCCTCGCCGAGTGTCTAAGACCATGGAGCATTGATGCTCCCCGGTTGCTTACGCATGAAAACTAAAGATATTAAGCATTTAACAATCAGGTGAAAGGCACGCCGCATTTGATGGGCATCTTAGCTGGCTGGAATATATAGTGGTGAGTTGAGAGGTCGATGAACAGGCCCGGCAGTCCATTGGCTTGTGGCTGACTTAGCGGTCCTCACGGCCAGGAAACTTTGCCGAGCAAAAGTTCCCGAGCTCCAAGCAGAGGTGAACAGCCATGGAAGACAACAATGCCAGACGATGACGCCAGTCGCAGTGAGAAGGAGGATGGCAAACGAGAGCCTACTACAGCACGTCCAAATGTTGTCGGCCTCTTCACCATACCCGCACCCTTGAAGCGGCTCTTCAACAAGTTCCCTCTCGTCACCTACCCAGCAAACGAGCTGCCATTGCGCGCGCAGCGGCCATGGCATCAGCATGCCTTGTACGTCTTCACGACTCCAGAGGGAGAGATAGCTGGCTCGCCTTCTTTCAATCCAAGCTGCTTGAAATGGCAGGTCAGTACCATTCGAAGATCAGATCGAACACGCAGCATCATAGCTAACGCATCGTCTTCGTCAAGGCCTACCTCAGATTCTGTGACATAGAACACCGCACCGTGTCATCGAACAATCATGCCTCACCCAGCGGCGCACTGCCTTTCCTCCTTCCATCCGAAGGCTATGTGGAGTTGCCGTCGCCTCCGCCGGTCCTATCAGGGAAGCTGCAGAGATGGGTTCTCTCACATAGCTCCAGCGCAACTCCAGAATCCTCTGATCTCCGCTACGAGGCTTACATTTCCCTTCTCGATCACCGAATACGTAGAGCATGGGTGGGTGTTCCCGAGGTCCCTTTCGCGCTTATCTTTGCGGCTAATCGCTCGGGTACCAGCTCTACACGTTCTACCTAACTCCTAACTTCTCCTCTCTGGCGCTACCTCTCTACATCAACCCAACGACTAGTAACCCGCTCGTCCGCCATGCTCAAGCTCATGAGCTTCATAACGCAGCCGCTGCGGAGTTGCTCAAACAAGCAGCGGTCATCGATGCCGAGACGCTTTACCGAGAAGCGGAGGAAGCATTTGAAGCTCTAGACACGCTACTGAGGAACAACGAGTGGTTCTTTGGTGCAGATGGTCCCGGGTTATTCGATGCTGCTGTTTTCGCATACACGCATTTGCTGCTCGACGAAGAGCTAGGCGACGGTTGGAGGGAGCGGAGATTATGCGATGCAGTGAGGAAGAGCAACGGCCTAGTCAAGCATCGGGAGCAGATATTGGAGCGATACTTCTCAAGAGAATCGTAGAGGCTGTATAGAGGCACATGCGGAGTTTTGGCGTACCAACATCCGCTCTAAAGCCTCGGCCAACAGGACTCAGGCGGGTAAGGTCCCATTTGGGTCGGGTCGTAGCATTCTGTATCAGTAGCACCGGATCTCTGCATCGCTGTATATCACATCTCATTTGGTACCACTTTTCGTGTTCTCCTCATGTTGCTAGGTTCTGCTTGGGTGTGGCGCTTGCCGGCGGCATAGGTGAGTCATTGTCGAAAAACGGCTTTTTGCATGACATTTTGCAGGTGCAAAGCGACTCGGGAAGCAGCACATATAAGCTAGGTATTCTCTCGTTTTTGTTGTTTTTACCACAGTTTTTCACTTTCTGTTTCCGCATTCGAGCTTCGGCTTTTCGGCAAAACCTCGTGACTTCTTTTCCCCTTCGATTCAGGCCTTAAGCTTTTCAAAAGATCAATCTCTCGATATGACACAACCTACTTCTCTCAACGCAACCTTCGACACATCCCTCATAGACCTCTCACCGCCATCACAAGACCATCTCTCAGACACCGGTTACTCCTCCACAGTAGCCGATTCGTTCTCAACCACATCATCCGACCAACCCGTGACCGGCCAACCAAGCGGAGCCTTTCCTCCTCCTCCGACCGAAGTGACCACACCAACCCTTGCAAGGACACCCAAAGCACCCTCAATCCCGACCCTCATGTCTGGCGAACCCCCGGCCACTGCCCCGTCCGGGTCCTCGGGTCATCCCAAGCCAGTCAAGTACGTTCCAACGGTAGACGCCTACGACGCCTGGGCCAGCGTGTACGACTCGGACGGTAATATCCTGCAAGCCGTCGATGATCTAGAGCTCTCTTCCCTGCTCCCCGAGTTTCTCAATCTCGTGACGCCGCAGCTGCAAGGCCAGCGGGAGCTCAGGATCACGGACCTAGGCTGCGGGACGGGCCGCAACACGCTCAAGCTCGCTGCATACGACTATCTGGCTGGGGCTACCGCGGTCAGGGTAACAGGTGTTGATGCGTCGGGGGGAATGTTGGAGGTCGCGAGGAGGAAGTTCGCGGAGCTACCGCCCACCACGGCAGCTATTAACGTGACGGCGGAGTTCGCCCAGTACGACCTCCTGTCCCCAGCCTCCGGATCCGCGTTGCCGCAACAGGCTCATGCAGTCATCTCAACGCTCGTTCTCGAGCACATCCCCCTGTCCACTTTCTTCAATGCTATCAGAGCGCTGCTACTCCCAGGCGGAATGGCGCTGGTCACGAATATGCATCCGCAGATGGGAGGGATGAGTCAGGCTGGGTTTGTGGCAGAGGACGGGACGAAGGTGAGGGGCACGAGCTGGGTGTATGGGGTTGAGGAGACTGTTCAAGGGGCCAGGGCTGCGGGGCTGGAGCTTGTGGGGGAGGTGAGGGAGAGGAGTGTGAGCGAGGAGATGGTGGAGAGTGGGGTGGTTGGGAAGAGGGGAAGGAAGTGGGTGGGTGTGAGGGTGTGGTATGGGTTTGTTGTTAGGAGGATTGGCTGAGATGAGTGGGGTTGGAAATTGAGTTCGTTTGTGCTCCCTCCTCACCGTTTCGGGTTACTAATCTTTACTATTTCGTCAGAGTACGAGAACGACGCCCGCTGCGCGGGCTCAGCGGAGAAACACTTTCCGTAGAAGATATCTGACACCCCGGGTGGACAGCGTCTTCTGTTCTGAAACATTCAAGGAAAGAGTTTCTCGAGATGATCGTTCTGTCTCAGTTCGTCAAGTCTGTCGCGTGAATTACTACAATAACCTTATAGGCTCTCGACGTTTCTGCATAATTGCTGCCTAGTTGGTCGACCCGCTTGGTAGAGGCCATGGAATAAACCATAAACAGTTTGCACTTCCTGACAATAATCGTAACCTAGGCGAATCTTGGAACGGCGCCTTTTGCTTTATTGCATGCCCGTAATGGTATCTTTCGTAACCACATATACCCATCTCCAATCTCTCTCAAGCCATGATATCGACCTCCAGCAATTTCACAACTCCATCATTATCCCGCTGCCCGCATGGCCACTACACCTGTCCACCAACCACCAGATCGGCGCAGCCAATTCCTAATAGAACCAAGCGCCGGAACATCAACAACGGGGTATCATGACCATCGCTCCAACACATCACTCCTTAAAAGCAAACAAACTCCCGCACTCCCATACCGTCCCAAACTCCCTGCACTCTGTGATCACATCTTCCAGCTCCCACCACCACCCACCATTCCCCTCGACAAAGGTGCCCCACACATCCTTCCATAACGCCCTCCCGACTAGTGCAGCTAACTCCGCATCTACATCTTCCTCGCCCGCCCTGGGCGCCGCAGGAAACTTCAGCACCTGCGTCAGATTATTCCACTGCCCAGGCGGCACCAGTAAACTAAATCCCGCCTCCTTGACGAATTTCGGGACCAGCAGACTCGGTCGGGTGGAGCGGAAAGACGACTCGATTCCCGGTATCAAACGCTCTTCTAGCCATTTCTTCATAGCTGGACCGGTGGTTGCGCGCTTAGGCGCTGCTTCGATGAGGCGAAGCTCGAGGATGCCACCGGGGGCGAGGACGCGGTGACATTCTTTCAGAAGGAGAGGGATGGAAGACGAGGAGACCAGAGCGGGGAGGGAGGTTGTGCGGATGTGGTCGATTGTGCTGCTGGCGTAGGGAAGGGTGGGGTTGGAGGCGATGGAAGAAGACAGCGTGGAGACGTTATGAGGGAGTGGTGTGGTGGGTGAGGAGGCGAGACTGTTGGTGAGGTAGTTGACGCTTTCGTGGGGGTGAATGGCGGAGAGGAGGTATACTTCGGCTGGAGAGGTTAAGTGTTAGTGCACTCTCTGGCTAATGGAAGCGGCATGCTTCATGTAGCGCTTACCAAGATTGCCATACAGCTGCAGAATATTCCTTTTGCCCTCCAGAGGTGGAAACCGAAGCAGCTGGCTGAACGCAGCTTGTGAGGGTAGAGTGGCTTCATTGACCGACTGCAGCTGCAGGGCGGTAAGCACCCACAGATGTTTCTCGAGCTCCATCTCCGCGCGCGCGGCTTCGTCCAGTGGCTCCGTCCACACCTCCTTGAGGCGATCGAAGATGGTAGCGGAACCCGCCCCTTCCATACGCCGAATGAAGCGCTGAAATTGCGTCAAGCCAGCGCTACGTGAAGGAGAACTTCCAAAATATCCGTCCGGGATGCTATCTGGAGGCTGCTCGGCACCTCCATCGACGGCAGACAGTACATCCCAGTCTGACGATGCCTGCCCAGAGAAGAGCGTCCGAGACGTATCGGAGTTCATCCACTCATCGAGTGGAGTTGCTATTGGCTCTGATATTGATGTCAGACTTCCCACTGCTGCAGAGGCCGACAGACCGGCGATTCTATCCGCAATTGGCGCCCTATGATATGTTTAGTGCACGCTATTCCATAATGGAGAAATTTCATACCTCTCCTTCACCAACACTCGAGATCTTATTTCAGCCTGTTCAGCCTTGGGTAACGTGCCGACCTGAAAGCGGTCAAAAATTGAGCTGCTGGCCTTGATGAACAATGCCTACCTCTTCGTTCTTAGTAGTGGGCCTTGAGACGCGTGACTTAGAAAGTTTTCGCCGAAACGTACGTGCCTCGTCGATAACAGACTCAACCGAAGTTCGGGAGCTGGCATGGCAACTTTTGTCAGAAGAGAAACGACCACTGCGACTCGAGGCTGCCGGCTTGTTAGACGCACACCACATCTATGAGTGAACGGATACGCACATGAGTTGGACCATCTCGACGCAGTGCTGCGGCGAGAATCTTGATAGTTCGAGACTGAGGGATCCATTGAGGTACCGGAGGGGAGGCTGGACGATAATGTTGCTTGGTAGGTACCGAAGCCTGCTTCCATCGACGGGCCTCTTATGTTGATCTCACGCTTTCGACGAGAACGAGCAGATGGTTTCCTCGAAACAGCTGTCTGGGAGGCCTGATGTTGGCCAACATTCTCGATTTTTTCTGCATTGCGGCGAGATTTTCCTATCTTCGACAATGTTTCCTCGAGTACTGGATGCGGGGGTTGCGCGGAAGGCGTCGCCGCGCACGACCGCATCGTTCTTATTGATGATGACCGCCATATGCCGCCTTTGAAGATTGACTTCCAGCGCTTCACTGAACCCTCAGAGCTTCTTAAACTCTTCTCTTCCATTTTACACTCCCTGGGCTGTAAAACGGCTTCAGCGTACGGATCCCCCCAAGGGGAATCGGCGCATAACATGTCGCTCAAACGGATACACAAGAGTTACGGCGAGCTGCAGAAAGCCTTTAGGATAATATGCTTGACTATTCATGATCCATGGAACGCCACTAGAGTGTTCGTACCGTCATCTTGCGTCGTCTGGCTGTTTAGAAACACAAGCATTGGTTAGCCATAGGGAGGGCCTTGAAAATAAGCAATCGAGCGGAGGACGACTCCAACGAATCTTTCATCTGGGGTGGACACTGTGCCTTATGATTTGACACAGACTCCTGCCTTGGCGTTCTCTGTATTCGCTGAGGTGCCAGTCCATGACCTGATGATTCTCTGCGGTCGTTGACCGTTGGCCGTTAGTGCCGGTACTATTCAACGGCGCTTTTCAAGGTGGCATGATCGGGCTTGTTCTTGCTGGCCAGCTCAGCCAAATATTACTTCTGCAAGCCAAGTAAGCCCGCGCAAGCCAGAGGAGCTCACAGGATGCCAGAACGCCGAATTCCATGGGGCCAACGATTGCAGCATCCGCAACAACCGCCCCCGTCGATCAGTGAGCGCCGTTGATGCCGCTCCGCCTGAGATCGTGGAGTCCGGCGTTTCAGTTTGGATGAGAACACTAAAGGCTCGCTTGGCTGTGACGCTAAAGCTGTAAACGGCCTGAATTGGGAAGAAAGCAGAGTCGTTCTCCCGTTTTTCTTTGATCGTTGCAGGAACGTTGGTGATCTCCACATGATCGCTGGCGTGCGGAGGTTGGCGAACCAAGATTGTGTCCGACGCCCGCGGATCTTGCAGGTCACAACCACAACAACCCGTGCCCCTCCCTGTCGAGGTTGTTCAGCCCTGTCTGGCTGAGGTTGCTTCGATCTGCCAACGGTCATAGCACTGCTGGTGGTTGTTATTTGCCAAGGCCGCATTCTCGAAATTATTGGAGATATCATTGTGGATTGGATAGCCCAATGGCCTGATGATGCACGGCCTAAGGGCTGAACTCTCCAGGGTAAGAGAACTACATATCTAGGCGAGCTAGAGTCTTGGGTATCTCGGTAATTAACTATTCATACAAAATCCCTGTCCTGTGCTCTTCCACGTGCATCAATGCCCGTGTCATCCAAAGTGGCATAATCATCGAGACCGGTCCCCACTATGGTTGTGATCGACGCGTCCACGTTCAGCAGGGTATTGTCCTTCGAGGGGTCCGGACAAAGGCTTCGTTCTGATCTTCCCGCTGTCAACCGGGATGCGACAGTAGCTCGTCAGAAGATGGCCGTGCTCTCCCTGTCAAAATCGCTAATGCTCGAGTGGTTGTTCAGCCCTCATTATCTGCGGCCCGCCATAGTTTAGCTGTTGATGTTGATGCCGTAGCGCGTTGGGCGGCACCGTTCGATCATGGGGCCGTTCAACCGGTGTTCTTGCGAAATACCAAGCCACAGAGTCTTACCATAGGCGGCACCCTTTGCCGTAGTCATCTGGGGTACACGCATCAAAGAGCTAGAGGTCATGTTGACCGCGTCATTGCGATTTGCAGTCCTGTAGTATCAGTCACCCCCTTCCCGCAAGTCAAGCTCGCGGATGTCAATGGCTGCCGTGTCGCTGGCAGTTAATTCCCAGGTTCGAGCGATTATCAACAGGCTCCTCTATCATGAGATCGGGGCGATGATGTTGAGAATCTTAGAGTGGTTCACTTCCATCACAAACAAAGTACTTCCAGCGTAATGAATGGAGAACTCACTGGTATGCAAACCCTCCCCGATTGATGCTCTTGACTGGGCTCCTATCTAGGCATGTGTAGATGACTAGAATAAAAGGCTCTATGAGTTGACAGATACGGATGACAGGCTGTGCCTTTTATCTCATCTCCTCTTATCGCCAACATCAGTAGCGCTTCTTCCATCGATGTCCCATCCTAGGAGATCGAGTGCATGTATATTCTGTTGTAATATGTACTGCTTTGATGGTTGTGACGCTCCTTACCCGGCGCTCCATCTCCCTGTGACTCGTATTCAGTGTTACTTACGTTGCTACTGCTACCACACTGCTGACGGGTCAGACAGCTCGGCGTTAAGCCCTGCTCGGATATCTCTTTCCAAGCCGCGACCCTGCCTTGCAGCTGAGCATGCGGCTTTCGAATCTATGGCACTTTATCGAGTCGCATTCAAGATGGTCTGAACTAGGTGCTCGGGTATGATTAGGTTTTATATTTGGAGTTATTAGGGTCAAGGCTAAAGTAACGATAGAAGGATGAAACAAGAGGGAAGCAGTTGATCCCGCTTCTATAAAGCTGTGTTTCAGAAATCTACCTCCAGGAGCCACCTGCTAGTCTAGAAATAGGGCACAGTCGATATCAGGATGCTTCGCATACGGAAGTCTTACTGATGTCAACTCCTTCGTGTGCATGGACAGCGAAGGCTCTGAATGTAAAACTATATCTTTTGCCATATACAGTTCCTCGTGTTCACAGGACGACCTGTCTAGCCTTGCTCCTCACCTTTCTGCCACGGCTGAGAATTTAGATATTGTGATGCTCCAGCAATAAGCACCTTCTAAACACGATGGCAACGAAGCATTGAGCAAGGAGAACAGACCGTTTCCAGCACGACTCTGATCACTTCTCTTGTCAGAATTCTCATCAATAACTCACAAAAGGCTTCTCCAGTGTCTTGGAGAGATGTTCTTCTTAATGTCATGTGATTGTCCCAAGCGGCAGTTGTGATTCGGCACTAGTAGTCTGTTCAATCTCGGCTAGTTAGCGTATCAGGATGGAGCAATTCCAACCTCCTGCCAAGCCATCCGAAGGATTTGTGACAGTAAAGAGGAGTGTCTGTCGCTCTACTGTCGGACAGCGCGCCTGAATGCTCACCGGATCACTTCGGTCTGCTGTTCAGGCAGCCTTACTCTGAAACGAATGTGTTGCATCTTTGCCGGCCGAGATGTCTTGTGTTCTCAGGATGCGCTTCATCCATTTGCTGGCCTCTGCAACGCTAGCCGCGGAGTCCACCGAGCTCGAGCAAGTCAACCCCATTCGGCGTCAATGCTAAATCACTGTGAACAAATCGGGTCGGAGAACGAGGCAAGCCGAGTGCCGGCCTCGCCTGCTTTTGCTTGCACCATTAACGCCCTCGTCGCTAGTCAGGGACCGCATCTGAGTGTGGCTCTCGGTCTTTTGCGGTCCCTGAGAAGCGATATCATCGTAAGGAGGTCTTGGAGACACCTTCTTCTGGTTACCGTTCGCGCAACCTGAGCTCGTGTGATCTCACCCCCGTTTTCATTCAATTTGGAGCATACTTACCTATCGCTGCCTTGGCGCTCGATACAGGGGTTTTAGCTGCTGCATCATTTCGCGTGCCAGCCATACACCGCTTCTCGTCCTAGTTTCATGTACACAGCGGCTACGCTTTCTCATCATACCTCGCTTGCTTTCTCCAGAAGGTGGCATTGTACCATCTGTCGCACTGCCAACTCGTACTGGTAGAGAACCCATCCTCCTAACACTATCACCGTCACGAAAACGATATATGAAAAGGATTCAAAAGACCGAGTGTTCCCTGTGGAGCTGTTAAACTTTGGAAGAGACTGGGGGCAGGGTGCCGGGAACCCTTGAGGACTAGGAGTCACTTACAGCAATCATGGCCGACACCACGAGACCCCCGAGTTTCCTTCCTTCCATCAAGTGCTCTAGTTGCAGCGCGGAAATCGAAATATCCAAGATGGCGGATCACATCTGCGCCGTCTCGTCCCCGCCAGCAGCAGGTATACCAAGATCCTCACTCGTACAGTCCCAACTCGGAGCTTACCATAAAACAGAGCTGCCCAAGGACATGCACTCACAAGCATCGGGTGCGGCAGCCACAGTAGCGGCAGGGAAGCGGCCGAAACCGTCGGGACTCTTACGACCAGGAAGGATGGTACCGCTCCCGCGGATTGACCCCTCGGCTGCCAGTAGGTCCTTCCGCTAGAGTTCCACGCGCAGCACGAGTACTGAACAAGAACAGACAAGGCATTCCTACCGCCACCAGACCAGCTTACGCCGCTCAGCGCGAGCGGTGCCCGAACACCTTCCCCTTCCTTCAACAATGCCCGCAGAACGCCGAAACCGAAGCTTCTTCGAAGCACGACAGCCCCTGCGATACGACCGTACAGCCCACCCTCTCCCGACCTACCACTAAGCCAGGACTGTGCTTTCCCCGCTTTCCCCACAACCCGTAGCCGAAGCAATACACCGACAGAAGGTTTACCTGGAAGGGCCACCCTTGATCACGATTACGTTGGGGCAGACCCAATGTATGCCCCCAAAAGTCCAAGGATAAGTGGAGGCGCCAGCGTCTTGAGAAGAATGGACACAATCTCGCCAGGGCCGTTCGATGGGCGTTTCGAGAGGGAAAGGTCGACTAGCAGGCCGGCTAAGGCAGGGCACAAAAGAAGTGCGACAGCAAGTAGCGGCGTCAGTGGACTTTCGCGGAAGTCTAGTAGCAGTAGCCGGAGGTCGTCCGGGCGGCCTTCAACATCTGGGTCAGAGAAACCACGACCTTCTGCACAGTCGATCGGAAAACCCGCCGTGCTTGCGACGGCCGTCGAAGGAGCAGCTGACGCAACTGGTTTGCGCGCTGGGCCGCCGCCTCGCCCCGTTAGGCCGGATGAGAAGATTGACGAGTTCTTGGAGAAGCTTCAGCAGGAAAGCGCAAGGGCGTCCCCTGAGCCATTGAAATCTGACAGCCGCTCTCGAACGTTCCCACTGAGAAAGGAGAGCCAAGATGACGTGGACGAACCGCCGTCTGCTCTTGCCAGAAGACCGTCAGAATCGACTTTTCAACAGAGACGTCAGAGACAAGCGTCCTTCTCGAGACCTCTTCCTGAAACCGTACCAGAGCTTAAACCAGGAGAAGAGGAGACAAGAGGACGCCAGCTTGGAACTTCCGCAACCCAACTCCGTGCTCTGTCCTCAAGCCGAAGTGGGAATAAAGCCGTTCAACCCCCAGCAGATGTGCCACCAGTTCCTCCGATCCAGCGTCTCCAGACCCAGATCGATGGCAACTCTCTTCACACACCGACCGACTCGGCATCTTCAGACGGGTCGAGCGCCGAATTCGCTTCGAGAATCGGAAGCGCAATGTCCAGCCCTCCATCCTCTGTAGCATCCGAGTCATCAAGGAGACCCTCAAAATCCGACATCCACAACATACTAGCCCACAAGAACGAGCCACTGTCTACTAAAAAGCAAACAGCAATCGGTTTACCGGATCCCGCTTCACGATCCCTCGCGTTTCATGGAGTAAAGCCAGCGAAGGAACCACAGGCAAGTATGAGCAGACCAACCGCTCCGGAGCCGCTGTTACCGCCCCGCAGGCGCTCCATCACAGAAGGCCCGGAATCCCCCATGGACCCAGCAATTCAAAGGGGACTCTTCGCCCAGCAGCGACTTCCGATCCCTAAATCCTCCTCGACTCCTCGAGGGCCAAGCATACCGACTACAACGCCTTCCGAAGAACCATCCACAACCCCGCCTACAGCCCTCGAACCACCACTTGCCCGCCATCCAACTACTCCCCGCTCCAAGGGCACCTGCCGCGGCTGCACACAGCCCATAATCGGCAAGTCGGTCAAAGCAGCAGACGGCCGTCTTACAGGGCGCTACCACCGGCAATGCTTCGTCTGCAAGACGTGCCGGGCCCCCTTCGCGACCGCAGATTTCTACGTCATCAGCAACGAGCCATACTGCGAGCGGCACTACCACATTCTCAATAAGAGCCTGTGCCAGTGCTGCGACAAGGGCATCGAGGGGCAGTATCTGGAAACGGAGCAGCGGCAGAAGTTCCACCCGGCGTGCTTCAAGTGTCAGCAGTGTCGGGTTGTGCTCAAGGAGGACTACTTTGAGGTTGGCGCCAAGGTGTACTGTGAACGACATGCGTGGGAAGCTGGACGCCAGAATACCGGTGCGTTCCTTGGACCTGGTGGTAGGAAAAACCCTGCGAGGAGGACCACGAGGCTTATGATGATGGGATGAGGGCTGGCGAGCCCTTTCGTCTTGCGTCCTGTTAGTTTTACCGGCAGCCGGTTTTTTTTTAGGGCAATGCTCACTTTTCGTTCTTTCTTCGGCCTTTTTCTTTCCTCGGCTTCCTTCTGCATCTGCATCGGCGTTCTTCGCAGCATGAGCTGAGCGGCCTCTCAGCTCGGGTTTGGATGGATATACCCACTTGATGCATGCTGTTTCACCTCGCTTCCCTTGTACCTTCTGGTGGTGGTCGTAGCGTCCCAGGCGGTCGCGTACGGCTATTAATGCATAGTGTAAATACTCCCAACCACGAATATCGAGGCATTGAACGGTTAAACAAAACTTTCCATCTTGTTGATGTCATGTTGGGAAGTGGTACGTGATAAAGTCCGCAATATAGCCTGCGATCTCTTCGTCAAGGGCCTCGTCTATTGCACAACTACTCCATGTGGTATATCTGACTGGACGGAACCATGTCTCCACAGTGCTCATGTTACCAAAAACCCGCAGCCATGTCATCACCAACACCGAAACCAGAGAGCCTTACGCAAGCTGGTCTAGACCGAGATAGAAGCACGCTAAGCAGCCACGTTGTAGTTGCGGTTCCACCCTCCAACCCACCGCGCATCCAGCTCTCTAGCTTTGCTAAGAATCCAGCGGCCGCTGCGCATACACGACATGGCTATCCGCCTCGTCAGCCGAATACAAAAGCGAGTAGGAAAAAAAAAA